ATATATATATATCTACTATATAAAGTGAACTATACTAGGGGTTCAGCACTGGTCCTCTTCTATTCAGTGGTGTCAATCCAGCTTTGAAAAGGGAAGTCCATGTTGTTAAATCTATATAAAGTCTCCGTTCCTTTCACACAACCATTTTGCTCATGAGCCTATGGAGCAAGTATGAGACACTGGGGAAATGAGTTTTCACTGCCTCCACCTGGAGTTTTTAAAACAACTTTGTTGAGATATAATTGGCACCCCTTACCTTCCCTATATCATGTGTACAATTCAGCGGTTTTTAGTGTATTCACAGACATTACAACCATCACCTATAGTCCATTTTAGAACATTTTCATCACCTCAGAAAGAAACGCCCCACTCTTCGGCTATCACCATCCTATTCTCTCATTTCTCCAGTCCCTTAGCTCAAGGCAATGACTAATCTACTTTCTATATCTATAGAGTTCTCAGTTCTGGACAATTCACGTGAGTGGAATCATATAATATGTGGTCTTTCATGGTAGGCCACTTTCACCTAGCATAATGTTTTTAAGGTTCATTCATGTTGTAGCGTGTATCAGCACTTCACTTCTTTTTGTGGCTGAATAATGTTCTAGTATATGAATATGCCACAGTTTGCTCAGCTGATAGACATCTGAATTGTTTTTCCATTTTGGCTATGATAGTGTTTCTATGAACACTCGTGTCAAGTTTGTGTGTAAACAAATGATTTTATTTCTTGTAGGTGTATACGTAGGAGTAGAATCCCTAGACCTCATAGTGACTTTAGGTTTAATCCTTTGAGGAACTGCCAGACTGTTTTCCAAAGCAGCTGCACCATTTTACATTCCCATCAGCGGTGTATGAGGGTTATGATTTCTTCACGTCCTTAGCAACACTTACCTAACCTTTTGATTATAGCTGTCCTAGTGGGTATGAAGTGGTATCTCGTGTGGTTTTGATTTGCATTGCCCTGATGATTAATGGTGTTGAGTATCTCTTCATGTACATATTGGCTGTTTGCAAACGTCTCTTGGAGAATTAGCTATTTAGCTCCTTTGCTCATTATTAAATTAGATTGTCTTTTTATTATTGAGTTGTAAGAGCTCTTAATATATTATGGATACCAGTCCTTAGTCAGATATATGATTTTCAAATATTTTCTCCCATTCTATGGTTTGTCTTTCCACTTTCTTGGTGGAGTGATTTGAAACACAAATTTTTTTAAATTTTTATGAGGTCAATCTATTTTTTCCCTGTTGCTTGTGCTTTTGGTTCAATATCTACGAATCTCTTGCCAAAGCTAAGGCTGTGGAGGTTTATCTGAAGTTTTTAAAAGAGTTTTATAGATTTGGCTCTTACATTTTGATCTTTTTCCATCGAGTTCATTTTTATATATGGTGTGAGGTAAAGGTCCACCTTCCTTCTTTTATAAATGGCTATCCAGTTGTTCTAGTGTCATTTGTTGAAAAGACTATTCTTTTCCCTCCAAATGGTCTTGGTGCTCTTGGTGAAAAAAAGTTAATCATAGACCTGTGGGTTTATTTTTAAGTTCTCACTTTGATTCCAATGATCTATACACCTATCCTTGTGCCAGTACCACACTGCCTTAATTACTATTGCTTGGGAACAGACTTTGCAATTGAAAAGTGTGAGCCCTCCTACTTTGTTCTTCTTTTTTTCAAGATTATTTTGGCTATTCTGGGTCCCTTGCAAATTCATATCCACCTAGATTTTTGAACGCTTCCTTTTGGTAGGTGTATTTTGCTTTGCATTCATATGGACACAGAAATATTTGCTTCAGGGTCCCTCCACATACCTCTTACCCAGACCTCCTGCCACCAACTGAGTGTATATAATGTTGTAGCAGTCCACTTCTGGCCAGTGTCATCATGTCATGCAGAACCTTCTGGGAAACAGGCTTCTTTTTTTTCTTCTTAACTAGTCATAGGGGACTCCTCAAGATGCCATAACTATAAAGGAGGAAGAAGTGATAAGACAGTATGTGTAGTTGTGCTGAGAGGATAAACCACCTACTTTTGTGAATTAATTTGATGTTAAGACCTGCTAGAGGCTAGACTCCTATAATCTGTTTCCACTTACTGTTGGCATGTTTTTGTGCATTTTATGAGTTTCTGTATCAGAGGACATCCAGTTTGTGATAGGAAACTCAGACCACATGGCTCCTTGATATCCCTTGATTCAAGCATTCATTTTCTATCAGGGTTCAGGAACAAGGAAATCTGGAGCTTTTTTCAAAAGAAACATAGTTGTTTCCTAAAGTGGGTATGACTTTGTTCCAAAACATCCAGGGACTTAGAATTGCCACAGTCTCTAAATAGCATCCTGATCTGTCACAGATACTTTGAAGATTATTGGATTTTCTGGATCATAAAAGACAAGTGGTAGAGTAGCTTGTTTGCAACATGAACTAGTTGAGAAGTCTGTCATTTAGTCTGGGTCCTTCTCAAAGCTGAAAATCTTATGGGTTACTTTGCAAATGGATAGCACATCTAAATACGGTATGTGTTTCCTACAAAATGCATAGAGGCCCAACAAACCCAGTGAACCTTTCTTAGCAGTAGGGGATGCAAAGTGAAATAGCTTGTCTTTCACTTGAGAGGAAATGTCTCAACAAACCCCAGAGGAAATATAGCTCCAACGT